AAACCACGAGTTGTTTTACTGCAATGTTCACATGTGATTAACAAAAAACAGTATCCACACTGCCAGCTTCCACTTCCCAATGAAAGATAACATGACATGACATGTAATGTGTATCCCTCCGGGCCAGTTTCAGACATACCTTGGCACATTTGTCATTTCTTTGGATTAAGACTACAAATCGCTTCTAGGCATGAACTGCCATGAAGCAGCATGTACTGTATATAAGCATTTGAAATCCATTTTATATTTTTCATAATGGGTAATTGTCTCTGAAGCCTTATATTATTTTTATAACATATTAAATAAAAGTCACTTGCATCCCCTTAAATGGATACAGTATTCTCTGGATGAAATATTGACAAATTATGGATGGTCCAACTTCTGGGCTGATTGTTTATTTTTAAATCCAAAGGTAAATGGTTAAAGAGCCATAATTTTAGCTGGACACAATCCAAGTGACAAAATAATGATCTTCAAAATGCTGAATGCTGAACATAGCTGTCTGGAATTTTTTAAAATTTTAATCATAAATATATCTGCCTCTGTAAATTCCTATGGAATACCTCATGTTAAAAGGCATAACCTTTTGACTTTTTCCAGCAGAATTTGCTGTTTGAATGAACAGCTTTTGATATTGTCTGCCAGCATCTACAAAGAGATCCCCACCCTTTCCATATTCATTTTCTCTATCACTGATGGCATGCATTTAATCTGCCCAGTGAGGAAGCGCCTTTCCGTAGCAGGAATGGCCAGAGACAAGCATCCGCCTCACCGAGATAAATCACTCCACTGCCCTTTCATTCAGTCGTATGAATGGTATTCAATTAACTTCCCTTACTGTGCTCCAGGAATGAGTCTTCAAAGAAAAATCTCTAACACCACTTTTTACTGTAGTGACAGTTTTCTGTTCATTAAAGCAGGACAAGCAGTATAAAGAAGCCTTCCATCTGGAATTTTATTTGTGCCTGAATTATAAACACATGGCTGACTGTTCATAATCTGAACCAAGTGGTTATAAAGGAGGACTTTAATACATCGAACAAATAGAACCAATTTCATGGTGTCACAAATGTCCCTCTCTCTGAGTTTAACTGCAGTGACAATATCGGAAACGTACCTCAAATTTTATGAGTATTTCTTGGAAGGACCCCACCATTAGAAAAAGCTAAACATTGCCTTTTTGGATTTATATGCCTATACATCCCTGGGGAACAAAGATTTTCTTGTGAATATTTGTAGCTACAAAGTTATGAAACCAGAAGTCAATCAAAATTAAGCACAACACATCCAAAACAGCGTAAAAATAAATAAAAATTTAGATGCGTTTATGTCAATACAATCACAGTTTCTGCAGTCGCTGTCGTCCTGGAGATATTCACTGATATACTGACGAGCAACAGGTTGTTTCTACGTGAGAAATATTGATTTAGGGTTGAAAATTAAATGAGAAGACTTTACCACTGGTGAGGCTAGATTTCAGACCCAGGGAACAAGGAGTGCATCTGCAATATGAAGACAATTCCGAGTTCAAACCTGACTACGGGTGATGGAATCACCTGAGAACATTTGCTTGTGCAAGCTACATTCCAGATTGACAAAATTCAGTGTAAAATCTGTCCTGGTCTGACCCCTTCTATTTCTCCCGAACCCTGAACATCTTGAAAGTACTGCTCAGTACTTTCTATGCTTCATCACCCTATGTATATTTATGAATTACCTTTAAGAGTGCTGAACACCACTAGAAAACTTGAGCAATGAATAGTAAAGCATCCACAAACATAATCACGTGAATCAGGCAACACATTTAAAAATCATGCTTAAAATTGTAGGGGACAGTGGCACTGTTTATTAGTGGCTGGGCAGGATTACGCTTGCATTATAACAATTCAGAGATTCAAGCCTCATGAAATCAGAAAATTTACTGAGTGTGCCTGTACAGGCTTTGTAAGATGCATTCTTCATAAGGGAATGAGCAGATGGACTTTGACTTTTTTTTAATTGCTTTGGTGTCACGAAAAGAAATTAATAAAATAAATTTATTTTAAAAAACCTTGTCAAAGATGAACCTTTTTTGCTGTATGACTACACTGTTACAAACTTGCACCTTTTTTGCCAGTTAATTTAACTGACACCTTTTTTCCCAGATATTTTAACCGTCATTTTACAATAAGTTTACAGCAGAGTTCCGTGTATGTTAAGTGTAAACCACAGTAATATGCGCGCAGAACTTCACTTACTGTTAAAATAACCAGGAAACAATGAATTAATTTAACTGTTAAATTCAGTCAATTTATAACAGTGTGAAGTAAAGATCTGACAATCCCCAATGCAAATGCAAAATATGTATGCATTATACAACAATGAGAAATCAGCACACAATTGTGTGGCTCAGAGCAATAACGGTGTATGCCACAATTTTAGATAACATTGTTTTTTGCTGGAATCATACTCTTACTCCCTCTAGCTACATGCCCATGAAATACCTAAGCTATGTGGCTTACGCCAAAGCCTCTATATCGTATGTTGTAAACACTGTCAGTGAGTCTTTGTTACTGACTCCGGGCAATAATGGCTTATGCCACAAGCCACGGTTCGCATTTAAACTTTTCGACCAATCAGATGATCACTCCTTAGTCCACAGTGCAAGATAGTAAATGGTAATTAAGGAAATAGTAGAAATATTAAATAACTAGTTATTTAAGTATGTGCTGTTTTCGTTGCTGTTAAATCATTCTGAGAGTTTAGTACTTTTTCGCCATTCTGATCATTGATTACTACCTCTAAAAAAAAAGATAGTCTTTAGTATTTGCAGAAATATGGCTGAATGTAATATCATTAAAATGCATATGCATAAAAACTGATAGTTTGCACATTATATGAATGGTTCACAAAATTTGAAAAAGTCAAATGTATCGAAAAGTTCCTACAGTGGCAAAAGCTGTTGTTGCTCTGAGCCACACAATTGTACATGGCCATACTCAGGGCTTGTGCTGTCTTTGGGAGGTGGTTCAGCCGTCTCTCAGCGATATTTGTGTAAAAATAGTCTTTACTCTGTCTCCACTTGGCTGAGACAAGCCCAGAGGATCTGGCCTCCTGTATTCCAGCTGATACAACAGAGCCAGTGATCCAGAACATCCCACGACTGTTGGCTTTAGAAGTTGCAGGCGGAAAGTGTGTCTGCTGCCTCCACAGGGTGGCTATGTGCGCCCCTGATAGCAGTCAGGGTGAGGAGTGATTTATCCATTTCTGGTCAGGACATCAGGAACGTTAGACTGCCTTTCCTTCTGATTAGGGTCACTGCTCCAATTAGCACAGGAGCGTGAGCTGGGGCTGCTCATACGTGACACCACTGCATCCTGAGGGGGCCGCAAATGGAGTTTCCATACCCGTGATCCTTAGCTAGGGGAGCTCAGTCTACCCCCCCACCACTGTCCATGGGCTAAAAGTCAATGCTGTTGAACTGGCCTTGACTTCTTTAAGCCCAACAAGCAAAGGATGTCATGAATCTTTGCCTTCCACCCTTCGCTCTAATGCACCCTTGAGGGTATGTAATAGCTTCTGTCTTCCTAGTGTACAGAGTTCAGCCACAGGTTAGTGCCACTTCTCTATTTACTGGGGTGAGAGAAGTTGAAGACTTAAAAAATATTGTAGTTATGAAGATACAATGCGCTCATATCTGTCTAAAAGTGTCAATAATTACATGTCATAGCCTATTCACATGCATGTTTTCCTCTATAATTGAAGGACATTAGTTCTGCATGTATTATTTACTTTGTGATTTGTGACCCAACGATGGTGCATTTCAATAATGATGGGACAGTTGATCTTGTTTACATAACAGTTCTTATTGAATGTGCAATAAACCCAACTTTTTGTCAAATCTGTTTGTTTTTTCCAAAACTATTGTTGGGTCAGAAATCACACTGCACATAATATATGCAAAACTGAAGTCCTTCAGTATATCTAGAAGATGAAGTTGTAGGTAGTGTGCCACTTGACAGCTGTTACAGGTTGCGTTTTGTTGTTCGGAAAATGCTACATGCATTACTTAAAATCTATTTGCGGAGATAGATTAAGGTCAAGCAATATAACGTGAACTACCAACAAAAACTATTCTCTTGCCATTCATATTCAGCATCTTAAACTAAGATGCTGAGCACAGTTTCTATATCACATTCTTCTGGAGAACTTTTAGAAATTAAGAGGTCAGGGAAACATACAATTTATAGGCTGCCAGGTTTATACATTTTCTGCTTACTAGGATACATTTTTAACAGAACTTTTTCTTTTTCTTAACTAATATATCAGCGATTATGGGACACTGACCTACCTTTAGATAATACAAGGCTGCCTGAGGGTCATTATGTCATACAACAGCACATGGATTTTAGCGTGGTCCGTAGATTTGAAGGAGGCAAAAACAGGTGCCTCAATTTTTAGCGGTCCTTGCAGAGAAGCTGCGGGAATCATATTGTTTTTGTTCACATTATTCTTTAATCTGTATTCTTCTCCAATAAAAGTGTTCATGCAGAAAAAACCATGGGACTAAATTATTTTTCTCCAATTAAAGTGTTCATGTGGCAAACGTTATAGGACATAAAATGACCAAAATTGCTTGGAGTATGACAAACTTCACCCATTTTTCATTCACAAAAATATCAATCATTGACCTCAAGGTGGCGCTGTAATGAACAAGTTTACATTTTTGCAATTGTCTCAAAAATGGCTTGGTATTCAACCGACATTTTTTTGAAAGTCAGTATGCCACTGAACACAGCTGCATCTTTTTTTCATTGGTCTTGTGCTCTAAAAATTTCTGAGTCTATGACTTATTCTCAATTATACTAAAATCCTATTTTCGGCAGTTTATGGGAAACAATAGGACCAATCATCACAAAACTGAGTCAGAATCATCAATGGACTTCATGTTCTAAAGCTTTCAAAGGAATTTTGATCCATACATCCATTTTAAAGTTAATGTTCTGTAACAGTTGTGTTCTGTGACAGGCGATGTGGTCAGCGTGTCTGACTCTCACTCGGGAGTCTGGGGTTCAATCCCCCACCTGGGCCCTCCTTCGGCCTGCAACACTTCCATCAAATTTGAAGGTGTGGCCTAGAACAACTTCTATAGATAATATCTTGTGATGTTACGGATTAAATTTAACAAAATGTGATGTGCATAATCAATACAAAATTCTTTGGATGCTCCCCAAATTTAATAAAATTTTGCCTACAGGAGGTGCTACTACATTGGCCAACAAGGGCAAACACCCTACAACAGCCCAAAACGCCTCCAGTTGGAGAAACCATTGCAACTTCACAACTGAAACAAATTCAACAACAGATAAAATTATCCAAAACAAATGCAAACACAGAAACACACTGCAGAAATCTAAACCACATACATTAACTGGAAACATGCTACATATACATAAATGATGCAAAGTCAAAAACTTGCAAGCCACGAAAACAAATTTATTGATTTATTTATCCTTTATTTAGCCAGGAAGGTCCCATTGAGATACAAGATCTCTTCTTCCAGGGAGTCCTGATCAAGATAACAGCATAAATAGTTTTACATATAAGCATTAAAAAGAGAAAGAAGAAATCACATTACAGTATATACAATCCATAAAAGCAGCACAGAGGTAATAGTTAAAGGAGAGACATACAGGCCATATATCTGTAACGCATTCCATCTCAATATCACAGATTATCTAAAACAGCTACATGTTTCCTTCAGGGCAGTTTGTAAAAGTCTTTTTAAAAAAATTAAAAAGGGGAGTGCTCCTAAGGTAATGGGATTTTGCAACTCATTCCACGCCCAGGGTGCATAAAAGGCAAACGCAGTTTTACCAGGCTCTGATTGCACCCGGGGGACATTTAAAAGAATCTGATTTGTTGATGTAGTACAATAGTTGCCAGTAGGATAGGATAAAAGGCTGGGGATATAAGTTGGCACTTTACCTAACAATGTTTTTACGATAAATAGCAACATGTGTGTTTTTCTCCTATGGTTTAGAGAGGACCAACCAAGCGATTCTTGTAAAATGCAATGGTAAGTGCGAGAACCTGTATTTGTAACAAAGTGTAATGCAGCATGATATGCAGAATCCAGATGCAGAAATGCAACAGAAAAATGCTGCATATCCAGTCAACGCAACAGAAGTGTTCCAGGCTTCTTAAGTAGGGGAATACACTGTAAAATATGTTTTTAATTTAACCAGTTCACTCATAATTTCTTTTAATAATATTTCTAATATTTTTAATTTAATCCATTTGTCTGTGAATGCTAACCAGACCCTCCCAATCATTCCGGTGTATGTCGTAGCAATCATAACGACCACAGTAAATGCAGATTCAGTTTATCCCATGTTTAAGGCATCTGAAACAGAACAAAATGAAAGATTTGTTTTATATGTTTATATATGTTTATATAGGTTTTATCTGATCCAATGACACTGAAATGGAGATCTAAGCATAATGTTGGCTCATGCCACACACACAGTGCCAGTTCCTTTGACTTTCTCAACATTATTACAGTAAAAAGAGAAGAATACATCTCAGTTGCTTCCAGAAGGTGATGCTTCCATGAGGGTGGTCTCCATGGCAACATAAGCCCCCCTTCCTACCTCATGATCATGATTAAGCCATACAGTTTGCCACACCTCTCCAAACAATTGCAAGCTACCGTGAGCAAAGTTGACCATTAATGCCATATTATTCTCTTTGTTTTCACAAACCTAGAACTATTAAAACAGCAAGGGATAACATTAGCTAGTGACAACAGCTGGCTGGGGCTTGCTAGTATTACACCAATCAGGCCATATATTTTGGCACTGTAAGTAAAGTCAGACAACACTTTACGATTGCTACACTATAATTGATTCAGTTTGTTACTATGTTATCAATATTCCTTTTACTCGCTTCGGCGTATCAGGAATAATTATGATAGCTTAACTTACCTTAAGTACACAAGTGGTGGCAGCAGTGCGCAGGACATACGGATACTGCTCAACGATAAATAAATGATAAATTATTATTTGATGATTGTGTGCCCTGCAGACAGATCATGTCCCGGTCATCAAGATATCAACATTTATTCTATGTAGCTGAAATCAATGTTCAAGAGCTGGCAGAGATCATCTCTCATACAGTAAGCCATTAATCAATATTTATGTCACTGTGTCACTGATTTCAGTGTTATGAGCTATCAACTTTAATCCATTGATTGATATTGATTCAGCATGTTTTTAACATTGATATCTCACCCTTGACAAAAATGAACATTCAAATGAAAAAAGGCAACTTTGTATCAATGTTGCCTCCTTATTCCACATTTCTTTGTGCGTCACTGTTCGCTTATCGCTCACCCAAGAAGCCGGGAGCCCTTTGATTGTGTTGACTGGATATGCAGCATTTTTCTGTTGCATTTGTTTTCGGGACTTGCAAGTTTTTTACTTTGGGTTGTTTATGTATTTGCCACACACTTCCAGTTAATATATGTGCTTTGTATTTCTGCTGGACTTTTCCTTTGTTGCATTTGTTTTGGATTTTTGTACGTACTGTCGAATTTGTTTAGTTTCTGAAGGTGCAGCGTGTTTCTCCAACTGGAGATGTTTTGGGCTCTTGTAGTGCCTTTCTCCTTGTCGGCCACCGTACACCACAACTGATACACTTCAAAATCTCAAGAACCACTTAAGCTAAAAATCTGAAATTTGATGTATCTATATTTGGCCCCATTTGCTCACATTTCCTAAAGTGGAATTGGCTCACTCAAAAAATGGCAGCAAACTTTAAACAAATCGGACTCAAGGAGGCAGTGTAATAACACATTTACATTATGACTCATATCTCACAAAACACAAGGGTAAGAACAAAGGTTCTATTTTCCACAAATTCCTTGGTTCTTGTCACAACAACTTCTGCACATAACATTTCCCGCCGTTTTAATTACATGAAAAGAGCAGGAAAATAAATCTGTTGAAAGCCCTTCATCCAGTTGTCATGAAATTCAGTGTACATGATCTCCAGACCATCCTGACCAAAAATTATAAAAGTAATTTTGATCTATCAATCTGTTTCATAGTTATGCATCAATGAAATTTTAGGGCGTAGCCTATAATGACTCTATGGCCAATATCTTGTGATGTAAAGGTTCAAACTAGGAAAAAAAATGTACAAAATCAGTGCAATTTTTTTGGAAGCACGCCAAATTTCATGAAATGTTGTCAATAGGGGCTGCTGCAATTGACACATTCCAATATCTGAAGAAAATGAGCAGTCACCAAAGGCACAGTCATTCACCAGCAAGATGGTTCAAGGTTCGTCATGTTGCCAAAAGCTGTTTAAACAAATAGTCATGAACTTTGAGAACAACATGTCTCAACATGTGATTGATTAAAAGATTAAAAGATTCCAGAGAAACTGGAGCAATCTCCGTGCATAAATGATGAGGCCAAAGAGGACAAGGTCCATCAAGACTTTCATCAGCGGCATGCTCAAAAGCTATCATCTTTCATTGTCTTGGGCTGCATCAGTGCTCTTAGCATGGGCACAATTGACAAAGGAGGGTGCACACTCATTTTGGATCAACGCCTGCCGCCCTCTAGATGTCATTATTTTTAGGGATGACCCTGCTTTTCCCAGCAGTATAACATCAAGCCACACTTTGCATTTAATACAACAGCGTAACTTTGTAGCCCCAGAGTGCAGGTACTACGTGCAGCCCAGACCAGTCTCCAATTGAAAATGTGAGGTGGATTATGAAGGTCAAAATGCAACAATAGGAACTCTGGACTGTTCACCCACATGGAAAGAATCTATATTAACATATATGCGCATATATGCAACCTATATGCTGCTACAGCATATATGCGCATATAGGCCAAATTTAGGTACATATATGTGCTTATAGAGGGCATATAGCTCTCCTTTTAGCTCATACACCCAGTGGCAGGTTCTGCTTGTCATACCTATTGTATAGCTCATATCTCACTTTTGCAGCTGTCATACATGATGCCTAGCTCATATTTTTATTCTCAAGGTAATATCTGCATATTAGTCCAAAGTCCCTTACAGAAATAACAAGAATTTCATGCAATAACTTATTAATTGCATGTGAATATGTGAAATTGGCATCACATTTGATCCTAAATATATGTTGACATGTGACAACGACATGTTATGTGTAAACCAGTCATTATTGACTATGGCAAGTGAGAGGAGACAAAAAGCAATGATATCAACACAAATATCAATACTGTTTGTTACATTTTTTTCCTGAAACATTAACAATAACAAGGTCATCAATTCTTTCTGGGCCATGCTCATTTCCATGCTATGAAGGTTGAGTTGTGTATTGTGGAAGAGTAGGCAATATATAAAAACAAAATGGTTTGATTATGTTTATTTCATCAATTAAGCATATTTTCAAGTTTAAGTCACTGCCAGATTCACCACATTAGATAAAATTGGATTCACATCATTACAGCTCATACACATCCACTGAAAGGTAATATACTTCACTGTTACATCCACCAAATGCAATGTTTTCTACCTTGTCTGTAATGCAGTTTCTGGATGAATATGGCTCAGAGGTCCTTAGTCTAAATGTAGCAAAATAATACAAAAATAACAAAATAAAAGTACTCAGAAGAACATGCATTCAAGTAAACATGCCTTTCAAAAGTCATTTTCATCCCCACATCTATTTGAGCATTTCACTGTGGTTAATGAATTTGAAGACAAAGTCTACATTTCTGTTCACAGTTTTAATGAACAGACACTTGTCTTTTATTTGAGATGCTTGTATAGCAACTAAAGGTCCTAGACTTTTTCCTACAGGGATGAAATAACAAGGATTCTTAAATTCCCACACGGAAAGAACCTATATAAACATATAGGTTTTAATCCCCGCCTTGTATTAACCAGCAGTGGTCGGCAGCTCTTTTCTGAAGTAGCGCACAATTGGCCAATGTGCTACAGGGATGCAAATTGCGAAGGGCCTGCTGGGAAGGGTTATGTAGATTAGAGTTCCCTTAGGCGCGTCCTGTTGGCTGGACGGGCGCT